GATGAGCCCCTCCATCTTTATGCCAGTTTCCATGCAACTTTTGAACTGGGATCAAACTCTTCTTTTGTTCAACCAGTTGACCATGATCTATAGTTTGGGAACTAGCAAATTGCTTTAAAGATGTATAGCGAAAGACGTTAACCTCAAGAGATCATCAAGAGATCTCTAGTGGATCTTCTGATTGGGGATGGGCTACAAACAATGTAAACAAAGAAAAACTTCAATGGGAACCTCAAAAAAATGAAAGGACGCGAAGGAAAAAGGTAAGTTTTAGACATCCTTACCTACATATCTTCAGGCTTATCTTCAATACTTCAGGCTTATCTTCTAAAATCTGTGAGATGGGATCAGTAACAAACTTCCATCTGCCCCCAACTAGTTAGTTGAGTCAAATTTAACTGGGAAAAAAATTACAATGATCATTATATTTAATAAAAAACAAAACCAGCCAAGTGACAATTTTATCACATCAACACTGCATCACTGGAAAATACAATGTTATCAAATATAATTTTTACAATGCCCTCAAGTGGGAGGTTTTGACCAAACCTTGTATCATTGGAAAATACAATGTTATCTGAAAAAAATTTGACAAACTAAAAAAATTGCAGGAGTTTCACAAACTTAAAAAATTTCACAAACTCAGAAGTTGTGGGAGTTTCCAGTGAAAGTCAAAAAATTGGATTTGATTATATTATGGAAAATACAATGTTATATGAAAAAAATTTCACAAACTCAAACAATTGTGGGAATTTCACAAACTCAGAAGCTGTGGGAGTTTACAACTGCCAATAAAAAGACTTGAGGGAATAAATAATTTAATTAGTTAGAATTAGAGGGATTTACCTGTTATGGAGACCATAAAGAGATCTCCAGTGGATCTTCTGATTGGGGATGGGCTACAAAGAATGTAAACAAAGAAAAACTTCAATGGGAACCTCACAAAACTGAAAAGACGAGAAGGAAAAAAACGTAGGTTTTAGACATCCTTACCTGCATATCTTCAGGCTTATTATCTTCAAAAATCTGTGAGATGAGATCAAGAGAATTCAATATTTCAAGCTTATGGGATCAATAAAAACCTTCCCTCAGCCCCCAACCAGTTAATTAAGTTAATTTTTACAATGCCCAAAAATTTAACTGGGGAAAAAATTACAATGACCATTCTATTTAATCAAAAACAGAACCAGCCAAGTGACAATTTTATCACATTAACACTACATCACTAGAAAATACAATGCCCTCAAGTGGGAGGTTTTGACCAAACCTTGTTATCTGGAAAAAAAAAATCACAAACTCCAAAAATTGTGGGAGTTGCACAAAGTTAAAAAAAAATCACAAACTCAGAAGCTGTGGAAGTTTCCAGTGAACTAAAATGTATTACATTGATTTTTTTAAAAAAAAATTACTAAATGACCCGTAAACAAAACCCTAAAATAACCTGTTTGATTATAACAGTCACAACCCAACAGAGAGAGAAGGGGAAAGGCAACAACACTGAAAGGGGAAAAAGACTGAAACAATCTGCAATCTTACCTTGTGAGTTGAGTTTGAGAGCAGCAAAAGGGAGGGTTGCAAGTGCGAGTTCGATTATCAAAACCTTGAAGCCACTGAAACAATTAAAAAATAGAAACAAAAACAAAGAGAGAAGGGGAGAGGCAGAAATCGAGGGCTGGAGAACCTTGGGAGCTGAGTTCAAGATGCAGAAATTGAGGGCTGGAGAACTGGAGAGCAGCATCGAGAGGGTGCGAGCCGAGTTCCCGAGGAGCAAGCCAAGAGGGAGGGTGTGAAAGAAGAAGAACAAAAAGGAAGAGAGAGATAAAGAAGGAATGGGGAGGAGACGTGAGAACAGAGATGGGGAGAGAGATAAGGAGGGAATTGAGAGGAGACGTGGGTAGGTAGGAAAGGAAGGCTAATGTTTGGGCGGGAAGAAAATATATCTGAACCATTCATATATATTTAGGATTGATATAGACCATTGATTCAAAATGTATCTCTGATACATTCTACATATTTTCAAAATCATCATGTTTTATTATATAGATTTTTAATGTGTTATCAATTAAAAATATATTCACATCAGATGAGAGCGAATGTTCACATTATTTTTAATGTGTTATCAATTAAAAATATATTCACATTATATAACAATATAAAATAATAAAATCAATATTATTTAATTTGTGTATAAAATTTTCTATGCCTCTCTTCTCTCTCATCCCCCAACATTAAATATCAATTTTAAATATATGGACATAAGAGTCTAAGAAAATAGTGTAAATCAAGAAAAATGACTTTATAGAATAAAAGTATAAATACATAAGACTAAGTGAGTTAAAAAATTCCTTCATAAACTTCTTGAATTAGAACACTTCTAAATAGAATTTATCAATAAAAATCCCTTATTTTTTACCTAAAACTTGAAATAATAATGAGGTGACAAAATAAATGGTTAAAGATAAATACAGACATGTCATAAATATTCACCCTAAAATTACCACATTGCTACGTACATGCAAAAGGTGCAATGCACCATCCTTGCAGTGTGTGAGCATACACTCTGGCACCTTTTCCACGTTTCCTTATTCTAAGGAATATTCCATGTGAGTGTTTATTAACCTATCTCTTTTCTCTTATCGAAAGACAAGCCACAAAACTAAAGGTGCTTTCTAAGGAAACAAGGAAGGTTTTTGAAAACAAAAATAAATCAATAAATAAATAAATAAACCCATTTTTATTTTAGAAATTCCCTAACAAGATTAAGTTGGGGTTGGACTGGATTTTTGCACTTGGCATTGATGACCCACATCGAGTTTTAAAGCTTGTAGATTGGATAGATCAGCAGTTCAGATTTTAGTTGCAATTATGAGTGTGGATTGTGCCATTAGCAAAACATGACAGAATTTTTATAAAGAATAATGCAAGTTATTTTGATCCATGCACATCCAGATTTGATTATTGTGTCGTAAGAAAAAATAATAAATAATAAATGGAGAGAAACAAAGAATGTAGATTTCTATCAGGATAAGAATGACTCCTCCTAAAGATGGCTGAGAAGATTGCATTTCCAAGCAATTTTCTTAGATTGTGTTTGGATCTCAGAAATCACTTTGTGTCCCATTTTTCAATCGTTAACCAAGAATAAATAAATAAATTGTTGATATAATTTCTACTTTTTGCTCAATCCAACCGTGCAAAATGAAGGAATTTATTAGTTTCTCTTATGTTTCTTGTTCATTTCCCTCTTTCTTTTCCTTTGCCTCATAATCAAAAGTCAGGCTAATTTTGAGTTGACCATCTTATCCACATATGGTATTTTCCACGGTTGGCTTTAAGTGCGATAGCGGATCCCCATTTTTTTCTAAAACTTTAAAAAATATATTTTAATAAATAAAAATCAAAAAAATTGGGCCAATTAGTTGTTAAAAGTTGATTTTAGAACTCAACGAATTCAAAACATATTATTCAAATTTGACTTATTTACCTAACGAGCTAAACATAAGTTGTGCTCAAGTAATTTAATTTTTTATAATGCTCTATGTTTATCGAGCATAGTAGCAAGCCATTTAAGATTGACTAAACAGGTTAAACAAATTTTAAAATGTGTGTGAATTTTGATGTAAATAAGACACTCTGAAATGAGTATTTAATGAGCCTAATATTAGTTTAGTTTGAATAATTTGGTTCATTTTACCGTCCTAAATGTATGAGTGAAAAATGAAAAGGAAAATTAAACCAAAAAAAAAAAAAGATTTAGGAAAAAAAAATATTGCAGAACAATAGAGAACTTTTTATAATTACATTAGGAGTGGAATTTTGAAAATTAATTACAAAGTCATGGAACCTCTATTTTAAAGACATTTTTGCCCTCATCTCTCTCTTTCATTCTGCCATCGTCTGTCTTTGAACTCAAATAACTTTCATTCTCCCATCATCTTTCTTTGAACTCAAATAAGCACCACCCCTTGTTTGCCAACCCTCCTCCCACCATTCTCCTCCTGCACCTTCACCTCCACCTCCACCTCATCTTTGTGTATTTATTCTCTTTTTCATGGTGAATGTATAATTATGTATATTGTTCTCAGTTGTTTTCTGTTTTTGCTTTATATATATACACATTTGAAGTTCTATTTTTTGCCACCACCAAAAACAAAAAAAAAAAGGCACCTTTGAAAGCCAACCACCTCAATATATTAGAGGTGTTTGTTTAGACTTTTTTGACCTAACTTATAACTTTTAACTTTCAAAAAGTTATTTTGAACTGTTTGATTAAACTTAATTTAAAGAGTTTCTGATTCTAACAACTTATTTTAACTCAAAAAAGTTGATTTTGAAAAACTGTTCACCCCTTACTTCTAAAAAAAAAAAGGCACCTTTGAAAGCCAACCACCTCAATATATTAGAGGTGTTTGTTTAGACTTTTTTTAGCTAACTTATAACTTTTAACTTTCAAAAAGTTATTTTGAATTGTTTGATTAAACTTAATTTAAAGAGTTTCTGATTCTAACAACTTATTTTAACTCAAAAAAGTTGATTTTGAAAAACTGTTCACCCCTTACTTCTGATTATCAGCTTCCACTGTGGACATATTAATTTACGGTTATACTCTTAGATTTTTTTATTTTTTAAAAATAGAAAAAGATCCAAATTGACTATAAATTATTATTATTATCATTATTTTATGAGAAATGTAGACAAATAATGAATAACAAAAAATAAAAGTTCATTGAAAAAACTACTTCACAACTTATTTAACAAACACTAATCAACAACTTAAATCTATAATCCAACAGTTACACCAAACAGATTAACAGTTTCAGATTAAAGTCATAATCTATAATCTGCTAAGCTATAATTTATAATTTTTTTTAACAGTTATACCAAACAGGGACGTTATCAACCTCTTGATGAGGCAGAATAGGACTTGAAGAACATGCAGGGCTCTGAAACAAGGATAGAAATGAAGTAAAACGTTTTATAAAAAATTAAAAAACGAATCATCACAAATAAAACAGTGGCCAAGTATATTGCGGGGTAAAAATGAATCATCAATGTCATTGCTCAGCAATTAAGCATGCCATAATACAAAATCTCTGACCCAAGTAACAAAATTTTGAAAAAATAAAAAAAGAATCATGTATGGAGGATATGAAAGAGGCGCCTGAGAGAGGTTGTCCTCCCTATGGTATAACAACTTCACAACTAAGATCACTCACTCAACTCTGTAGAACTTCTGACCCAAAAGAATGTCACAGCAACTGCGTAAAAAAACTTCATCGCAATGATAATACATTTCTACAAGCAGCTTCCCAAGAAAATTACAAATGATAAAAAGAATAATAAAGCTTTTAACACCAAAACCGCAGGACCGGGCATTGTGCGTATCATATAGGGAGGAGCTTGAGAGCGTTACCACCAGGTCTACCGTCCATCCAATCTTTACGTCACAACAAGAACATCACTCATTACCTTTTCCAATCTCATTCCCAGGAGCAAGGTGGCTTGATCTTGATCTCATCGGTAGCCACCACCATATGGTTGTTGGGGACCATAATTACCCCTACCCATCATTGGATTATATCCACCAGGCATGTTCATGTTAGATGCAGGAGGGAAACCACTTGGTTGCATTTGGGCTTCTTGACCTATACCCATTCCCATATTCATCCCCATACCCCCCATGGGTTGTTGGTTCATTCCTCCATAGCCCCCCATACCCATGGGTTGATTCATTCCTCCATAGCCTCCCATACCCATGCCTGGACCGGCACCACCACCACCCATTCCCATACCCATGCCTGGCCCAGGGCCACCACCCATTCCCATTCCCATACCCATACCCATGCCTGGCCCAAGGCCACCACCCATTCCCAGACCCATGCCCGGTCTAGGGTTGCCACCTATTCCCATACCCATACCTGGGCCAGGGCCACCACCCATACCTGCAACTGGACCACCACCCATTCCCATACCCATACCTGCACCAGGACCACCACCCACACCCATGCCTGCACCAGGTCCACCACCCATACCCATGCCCATGCCAGAACCGACCATGGCATTTGGTGAAGGCCTGAGGGCATTTGCACCAGCGCGACCTATCCCAGAACCAGATCCCATAGCTTTACCCATGGTAATAGTTGATGTCACGGTAGCCGTTGTAGGCTGTTTCTCCATCCTCTTTTCCTTACGGTTCATGGCTTCAAAGTCGATTCCGATATCTGCCAGTGGATTTGTTTTAGCTGCACACGAAGAAAACATTTGAAGTTAGATCTTTCTGTTAACAACACATAGAGACCCTGAAACAACTAAAAGTTAAAACAACTATTAGAACTCACGTCCAGATATATTAAAATTAACTAGCCCTCGGTTCAGGGTATCAGCCCAAACTGAAGACTTGGGCTCAAACTTCTTGTCTGGTTGTTGAGGAACTATAGCAAGCGATCCTGTTGAAGGTGTAAGAGCAGGCTGAGAGGTCACGGTAGCAGTTGGCTGTGCTTGTGGAAGGAAGTTACCCCCCAGGACATCATTGTTATGCTGCTGCACTGCTGGTCCACCTGGAGCTTGTGGAGCCATTTGTGAAGTTACTGCAGGATTGGTTTGGGGAAGGAAGTTTGCAGTGTTGTACTGTGCGGTTGGGACAGCAGTAGTTTGAGAAGCCACCATGTGTGGAGCTGCTGGAGCTGTAGATCCCGGCTGTTGGAGAAAGTTCCCATAAAAATTAGCACCTGGCTGTGCAGGTTGAGAAGGGCTTGGGCACGGAAAACCTGTGTGTGATGCAGAGCTCATTTGACCTGAAAAACCTGTTAAGGGATCAGGTTGAGCCGAAAAACCTGTCAGTCGTCCAGGCTGGCCGACAAAACCAGTCTGTGATGTGGGTAGGGCTTGAGCCAAAAAACTAGTATGCAAGTGAGGTTGGCCAGTTTGAGATGTAAAACTTGTTTGTGGTGCAGCTTGGGCAGCTTGAGCTGAAAAACCCACCATTGATGCAGGCTGGCTGGCTTGAACGGGAAAACCTGTCTGTGAAGGTCCCGACGGGGGGAGAATATCTGCTAAAATATCAACCTCCGGGGGTGAGAATTGTGCATTTGTTGAAAGAAGTTGAGCATCTGGAGACATGCCAGGAAAAGTGTCGCCAAATGGTTGGGTAAGTTCAGAACTTTGATTGGCAATAGGATCGAATGAAGATGTAGTAGAAATATTGTGGGTCGGGGGTGGAGCTGTGACACCATCGGTAGAAGGGAGAGCCCTAAATGGACCGTCGCCGAATGGATCTTCAAAAGGCTGCGTTCAAATAACAGAATTATCCCGGAAAATATAAAAATTCCACAACTAGAAATGAATAGGAAATTCAGAGAGAGAGGGAGTGGAAAGAGGGGAGGAGCACTCTTGTATACATGGGGGAGCAAGGAAAATATCAGATTTAGTACTTAAATTGATATACTACTGTGGCTACAGCTATCATCCATGATATTGAAGAAAATCAAAATGATTAATTAGCCTTACAATAAGATGGGGAAAACATAAATAAATAAAAATATGGGAATTAAATCTGGAATAATCAATTCCATGATGGAATAACAATTAGGGTAAATTACATGGACGCCCTCAACTAGCACTAAATCACTTCACCTTCACCTCCATGCCTATAAAATTGTACAATTGGACCTCAACTAAAAATTTTATATTTGCAGGGGTCAAAATGTATGGTTTTATACCAAGTATGATATAAGGCTCAAAAGAACTACAACCGCAATAATCAAACTACTATACTTGAAAAACTCACAATTTTCGGAGAAAATGAAAAGGCTCCAAGGCCAATTTAGCATGTTAGTGTTACTTCATGAATCAATTCAACAAAAAAAGAGTTTAGAGGAGGTTCCTATATTAATAAAATCAAACATACCTGATTTGTGACAGTGGATGCTGACGGTGTGGCTGCAAATGTAGGTGCAGAGCTGAAGTCTGCTGGGGCATTAGCTTCAGCTGTATTTGGCATGATGGCCAATGGATTGGAGGAAAATGACTCTGATAAAGAGCCAAGTAGGTCAAATTCATCACCATTTGAGGTAGTTGGGGCAGCTGTTCAGAGAGGAAACAAAATATGAGTTTCCACATACAGTAGTTGTGCAAATAGCAGATTGACTAGCCCTCCCTTTTCAGTTTTGTCATCATCCTTTCCAACAATAACTGCCGAGGCCAAAATGTTGCCAATCATAGCAGTTACATATTCATTCACAGAGGGATGATTGCAAAAAATTGTTAAGTTGTTTGGCTTTGCACAAATAACCATGAACAAAATATGGTGATAATCATAATCCTTTCATTGACATGCACCACAAGAAACTACATGAAACAAAATTGGCTTTGCACAAAATAACCATGAACAAAATATGATGATAATCATAATCCTTTCGTTGACATGCACCACAAGAAACTACACATGAAACAAAATACCAGTAATAAATACACTAACAGAACTTGGACAAGATAAGTTAGCCATTATCTTTGGCCACTTTCGTGAATAGAAAAACATTGACATAAAGCAGTCAACTGAAGCTTAGCACAAAATCTCAAGAAGGCTTAAACAGTCAAGAAGCACGAAGCTACCATTCCATCCACCAGATTTTAAGTAAAATACTTAACTTCAAATTGGAGCTCTGTAAGCAGCTTATATAAATGCAAATATAACAAAGGCAAGAAAATGGTATCAGGGTATTCATTTCATCAAAAAAAAAAAGTGACAACCATCTCATACCATCGGATACTTCAAAATAAGGGTGTAATCGGTTCGGATCGGTAGAGGATTAATGAAAATTGACCACCAAACCAAACTAGTCGGTTTTGCCTTTGCACAAATCAAAACCTAGGAAGCACGAGTATGGGTAGGTCAATACGGCAAAACCTAAAAAAAAGTAGGATTTGCATACAGTCTTGTATGTCCATAAAAATATTTTCTAATTTGTAGTTGTACATGATCTATAGCAATTAAAAAATCAAATGCAAAAAAATAATTTAAAATTTTTTGCAATGGTCAAAAAGTGTTACCATAAAACACTAATACCCTGGCAATTTATATTTTAGAATGCACATTCCAAACTTTCGTTTCAAAACGGTGAATTTAGTGTTCTAAAACGATCTCAAAATTATTTTTCAATATAACTTTAAAAGCTACTTCAGAAGGAATATATATATATATAATATATAATAAACTAAAACATAATGAGAGTGGAGTTCTAGTATGAGAAAACATGAAAAAATGAATCATAATGCTTAATGAAATGTGTTGTAACATGATTAATTTGAAAAAGAAAATGAAAAGCCACATTTAATAGGATGTCTAATTATTAAACGAAAATTGCTCTTGGAAGTATGTCAAATTCTAATAATATAATTTAAACAAGTTTATCCCTATCATACCACATTTTAGAGAATGTAGTGTACTATGATCCCAATCCCATTCCACTTTTAAGGTAATATAAAGTCAAAAAACTAAAAATAAAAAACACAAGTACTTTTTATATTTTTTGTAATTGCAAAAATACCCTATATTTAAAATATAAAAAAAATAGCCTTGTTATCATACCCCAATATTTTAAAAATTACATTTATGCCCCAATGTACCCACAAAAGTACCTGAAACATACTCATCTCATATCCAAAATACCTGAGCCGTACCCATGTTGTTCACATACTAGATACATATATATATATATACATTTTTTTTTTTTTAGCATCAACAAAATTTTATTAAAATAAAAGAGACAAGAAGTCCTCATACAAAGGAGGAGAAAGAACAAAACAAAAGCACAAAGCTCCTAACACTAGGGATGGTAAACAGCAGCCCAATCTCTATAGATCAAGAACAAAGGGACTCCATTAAAAGGAGGGAATACAAATGCCCAAAACGAAGCCACATATTCCACCCTATCCCACAAAGCCTCTTCATTTGATTCCTTGCCATCAAAGAGTCTTGTATTTCTCTCCAACCATAGAATCCAAAAAATAGCAAACACAATGCATTACCACAATGATTTGGCTCTTTTGATGTTCCCAAACCCTTTGAACCCAACAAGAATCATTTGAATGCACAAGCTAAAAAGATGCTGCCATAATCCAAAAGCCACTGCACAATTAAGGAATAGACGATCCGCTACCTCCGAATTCCTCTTGCACATCACACACCATTGAGGGCAAAGAAAGTGATTTGGCCGCCTTCTTTAGAAAACATCATTGTTTGTGACACTCTTTTGAGCTAAAGACTACATGAAAAACTTCACTTTATAAAGGATGACCGCTTTCCAAATTTTCTTATGAATAGGAAACAAAGGAACAGAGGTATTATCAATAAGCTTATCAAAAAAAGACTTACAGGAAAAGACCTCTGAAGAAACAAGATTCCAGACCCTAATGTCACGAGAGGAAGAAAGAGAAACCCTATCAAGCAATACCAACAAAGATGCCAACTCAGTAGTCTCCCTATCATTTAAGTTTTTAAGAAAATCAAAATTCCAAGAGATGGGTGCCATAGAAGAACATGCCACCGACGCTACCGAAACATTCCGAGAACAAACCAACCGATAAAGAAGAGGAAAAGCTCCATCAAACGAGATATCCCCTAACCAAACATCCTCCCAAAAACGGATGCTCTCCCTATTCCCCACTCTCAATGAAAGAAAGTTAGACACAAGTGGATACAAGCGAGAAGTGGACTTCCACGGTGAACGACAATTACCTCTATTAACCACGTTAGAATCTCTACCATTGGGATGAACTCCATACTTGCTTTTAACAACTGAACACCATAACGATTCACTTTCAACAAAGAATCTCCACAACCACTTGCCCAATAGAGCAATATTCCTAGCAATGATATTCCCTATAGCTAGGCCCCAATTCTCCCACTTGACCAAATGAACCCTTTTACTCTCTTCACACCCTTCCCAAAGAAAATCTCTCATTAATTTCTCAATTTTCCTCGCAATGCTAACCAGAATTTTGAATAGGGACAAGAAATAAATAGAAACATAGCCTAATACAGACTATACCAAAGCATATCTTCCTACCTAGACAACAAAGCTCGCTTCCATCCCTCCAATCTTTTCCCAATTTTGACAAGAACAGGCTTCCAAAAGGACGTCAATCTAGGATCTCCGCCCAATGGAAGCCCCAAGTATTTGAGAGGAAATGATTCAATGAAACATCCCAACATATCTGCCACCCTTTGCACATAGCTATCTCCCAGATTAATACCCACAACACCACTCTTGCTAGGATTGACCTTAAGGCCCGACACAGAATCTTTAGCAAACTACCCACCTATAGACACCCCATTTTTGACCGCCCATAAGACTTGGGCACCACTAATGGCTTCTTTGGTGATGAAAGATATGCAGGGCAAAGGTTCGATTTCTTCGGCAAGAAGAGAGTCAAATCCTAACCTTACACCCCATTTTGGACCAGAGCTATTTTGAATGATTTTTAGACCTTAAAACCTTTTCTTTCAAAATGTTTTTGAAATAAAGTTTCTACGATACTCGGAGGCTCGCATTTTGTTAAATGTTGCGCTTTTCGGTAAACCGAGCGAGGACAAAGTGGAAATAAATGAAAGAGAGATGAAATCTTTGAAAAATCTTTCAAAACACCTTGTTTAGGGGTTTGGAGTTGAAGAAAAAAGGAGAAGAGGGAAGAAACCTAGTTGAGGAAAGAGTTGGCCATGAACCGTTAAGAGAGAGAGTCGAGCGGTCCTCGTTAAATCAAGCATATCCATTTGTACACTTGGATTTAAGCTATGAGGCCACCACCGTTGGAAATCTTACTTCCGGGGCTTCATTTTTCACTTAAGAATCTCCTAAAGCCGAGTCTGGATGGGGGAGATATGATTGGCTGAAGTTGGGCATCATTCTAGTTGGACCGAAACTGAGCAACCTTCCCTAAAAGAGGGATATCTCTTAGCACACATGTAATTTTGATGTGAGGCTTGCATAATTGGAAAGAAAATTTCCGGAGCTACAGTTTAGGCTCAAGAATGACCTGAAAAAGAGTCCAGATGAAGGAGTTAGGCTTTCTTCAAGTCAAGGACCAGAATTGATTTTTGCCATCGGCCTCTATGGAAGTGCATCGGCCACAATTTGACCTCAGCAGCTATATGTCGGCCAAAAGTGAACCTTATCGGCCAAAAAAAATGGCCGGTCGGCCAAAAGTGTCTAGAAAGCCCAGAATTGACAGATATTTCTTCTCCAGCGTTATACACTGCATCAGATATTTCCAATTGAGATATTTTCGACCAAACTTGATATTTTGCTATATAATGAAGCCTTATATCTCATTTTCAAGGGTTAGAACATTTAGAGAACATTTTTGGAAAAAGGTTTGGAGCTTCTCACACTAGAACCTCTCTCTCTACAATCTTCTCTTGAGCATTTGTGCTAGAAGGCTTGCATACAACCATCTTCAACCCATCAACCCTTAAGAAGAGTTGATCACCATTGGCTTGAGGTCCCTTGGAACCTATTTTTGGGCTGATTGAAGGTTGTTTGGCACAGATTTTGGCTGGTTTTGCTGCTGTCCTTCAAGGTTCTTCAAGGGTAAACACTTGCCCCTTTAAACCTTCGCTTTGCATGCTTGTTTTACCACCTTTGTAAACTGTTTTTGGCTTGGTTTTGAACTAAAGAAAACTCTGTTTTTCAGTCCTAAAAGTGATGGTTTAGGCCTATTTTGTGTTAGGGGGTTGTCTCCCCCTTTTGTTCTTTAGCTTGTATAGCTTTTGAGCCATCTTCTAAGGCCTTTCAAAACAACTTTTCATGGCCTTTTAACCACTGAAATCTAGAGGATTTTTAGTGGTAAAAACCCTATTTTGAGGGCCCAAATAGGAGGGGGTGGTCCCCTCCCCTCTTGTCTTGCTTGCTAGTGTTGATGGCCAACCAAATGAACAGACCTGCCATAACTCTGTTTTTGGCTGTCTTGGTCACCTCTTGTATGCTTATTGCACTTGTAGTGTAAATCCTCTTTTCTAGCCTTGCTAGCCTTACAAAGTAGCATGCTTTTGTGGTTTGTATTAGCTCTTTTCAAGCATGTTTTTG